TATGTATGCATGTGCGTGTATGTACATATGTATATATGTATGTATGCATGCATGCATGCATGCATACATGTATGTTTGTATGTATGCATGTATGTATGTATCTATGCATGTATGTACGTATGTATGCATTCATGTATGCATGCATGTCTGTATGTTTGTATGTATGCATGTAGGCATGTATGCATCTATGTATGCATGTATGTATGCACGTCTAGATGTACGTATGTCTATGTCTCTATGTATGTATGCATGTATGTGTGTATGCATATATGCATGCAAACACGTATGCACGCGTGCGTATGCGTGTGTGTATGTGTGTATGTCGGTATGTACGTATATATGTGTCTATGTACGCACGCATCTATGCATGTATCAATGCATGCATGTATGCACACATCCTTGCATTCAGGTATGTATCCCTGTGTGCATGTACGCAAGCATGCACGTATGCATGCATGGATGTATGTGTATATTATATGTGTATGTGTGTATATGTATACGTATATGTATAGGTATACTCATGATTTATATGTATGTGCATTTGCATATGTTTATGTATAGATGTATGCATGTGTACATGTATACGTATATGAATATACGTATGTGTGCATATGTTTTTATTTATATATATACATATATATATAGGTGTATACGTCGGTGTATGTGTGTACACGTACGTATATTCAAAGGTATATGGATTTGTGTATATATAGTTGTTTATGCATACGTGTGTATATATGTGCATGCATGTATGTATATAAATATATATATATGTATGCATGGATGTACGTTTGTCTGTCTGTCTATAGGTCTGCCTGTCTGTCTGCCTGTCTGTCGGTCTGTCTGCCTGCCGGTCTGTATGTATGCATGCATACAAGTATGTGTGTATGTATATGCTTATAAGTATGTGTAGACATTTAGATCTAGAGCGAAGGATTATTGGACCGTTCCTGGGGGCTTCTTTGGGGTCTACTGTGGGCTTCTGGTTTCCTGGAGACGGGAGACGTCGACGAATGACGTCAGGAGGACCTCCGAGCTTGAGTTTCATACCCGCTCCACCTCAGCACCCCGTCTGAGCTGGCGCGGGTTTTACACGCCCCCCCTCTTGCTGCTTCTTGCACGCAGCCTCGTATTCCCCTTCCTGCCTCCTTCATCCTCGCTCTGTCCCCCCCCCGCCCCTCCCCCTCTTAAACGCGGACTGGGGACCGATTCGGGGCTTCCATGGGGCCTCCTGAGATCCTCCCGGTGCCCGCTTGGGGGACTTCGGGGGGCTTGTTGGGGATCCGTGGAGGGCCTGTCAGGCGTCCCAGCAGTATCTACGACTTTCCAGGAGGGAGGGCCCAATTTTTCGAAGCCAGAGCCCGCCCCTGTCTGCTGGGGAGTGGGCCACTGGCGCTTCTCCTGTAAGGGGAGGAAGGGGGATCCTTTGACGCCATGGCTGGCGCTAGTTGGCGCTGGCGGGAGATCGTCTGGCTGGCGGGCCACTCTGTGGGAGTGGGGGGCCGGGCCGAGCGTGAGGTCGGGGGGGGTGAGGCCGAGAGGGGTGGCTGAGGAGGAGGAGTAGGAGGAGGAAGAGGAGGAGAAGGAGGAGGCGGAATAGGAGCAGGAGCAGGAGGTGGGCAGGAGGAGGAGGAGGAGGGGAAGAAGGAGGAGGAGGAGGAAGAGGAGGAGGAGAAGGAGTAGGAGGAGGAAGAAGAAGAAGACCAAGAGGAATAGGAATACTAGTGCTAATAATAATAGTACTCATACTAAGAATATTTTGAAAAATAATAATAATAATACTAATCATCATAATAAGAAGAAGAGTACTCATCATAATAAGAAGAGGGGGAGGAGAAGGAGGAGGAGGAGGAGGAGAGGGAGGAGGAGGAGGAGGAAGAGGAGGAGGAGGTCGGCGGCCCTGGCCATCGCACAACCCAGAAGCCGAGGCTCGGCAAGAGCTTCAGCAGAAGCGGGGGCGGTGTCCCAAGGGCCCCCCTGAGCGGCCCCAGCTGCCTGCTCCACCGTGGAGGGGCACGGGGGAAGCATGCCTCGAAGAAGAAATCACACCACAAACATAAACTCTTGGCGTTCCGCACGGAGCGCCAAGAGTTTATGCTCATGCCGGTCTTTACTCTTCACACGGGGGAAGCGCGGCAGCCCAGAGCTCGGAGGAGGCAGAGGCACCGCCATCGTGGCCCTTCCCTTGCCGCCACGGCTGGAGTTGCTTCGACATCCTGGTCACGGCGCACCCCGTGAGGGGTCCGTGGAGCAGCGCCATCGGCATCTTCTTGTCCCCCCGAGGGCCTGCCGAGAGCTCGACGGGAGCTCGAAGAGCGGTGGCGCGGGCGCTCCCCTCCCGGGCCCCCCGCAGGCCCAGGCTGCGGCCCCGAAGGGGCCGAGGCGGCGGCTGCGGCCCCGAAGGGCCCCGCAGGCCCCGCCCAGCTCCCCCAGGCGGTCGCTCTGGTTTTTCTTCCTCCTCCACCTCCTCCTCCTTCTTCCTCTCCTTCCCTCCTCTCCTCTCCTTTTCTTTCCTCTCCTCCTCCTCTTCCTCCTCCTCCTCTTCCTCCTCCTCCTCCTCCCACTCCTTCTTCTTCTTCCTCCTCCTCCTCCTCCTCTCCTCCTCCTCCTCCTCCTCCTCCTCCTCCTCCTCCTCCCTCCTCCTCCTCCTCCTCCTCCTCCTCCTCCTCCTCCTCCTCCTCCTCCTCCTCCTCCTCCTCCTCCCTCCTCCTCCTCCTCCTCCTCCTCCTCCCTGTCCCCGCGAAGTCCTACTTGACCCCTTGCGCGGGGCACCGAGGCTGATAGAGTCCCCCAGCCGCACTTCTGTTTCCCCGCATCTCTTCTGGTGTGGCGCCCGGTCCTCGGCGCTACAGGGTGCCGAGGGTGGCCGGCGAGGGCAGACATCATGCACGGCAGCGCCTCCTCCCCCTCCTTCTCCTCCTCCTCCTCCTCCTCCTCTCCTCCTCCTCCTCCTCCTCCTCCTCCTCCTCCTCCTCCTCCCCCTCCTTTCCTGCTTCTCTTCCTGCTCCTCCTTCTCCTCCTCCTTTTCTTCTTCTTCCTCCTCCTCCTCCTCCTCCTCACGCACTGGCCCGCTGGTGGCAATAATGTCGTCCGACGTAGCCATCCCCCCCAGGGCCCGTCCAGCCCTGGGGGGTTTATAAAAAGCCACCGAGCCAGGTGACTCCCGGGGCGGTCGCCCCCTGGAGTCGCCGGCTGGTGGGATGCGTTGTAATCCGTGCAAGAAGAGGAAGAATAATATTACTAACAAAAAGAATAATAATAATAATCATAAGAATAATACTAGTACTAAGATTAATAAGACACTTATAAGAACCATACTAATAATACTAAGAATAATCATACTTATACTGATATTCATACTACTACTACTACTACTACTACTACTACTACTACTACTACTACTACTACTACTACTACTACTACTACTACTACTACTGCTACTGCTACTGCTACTGCTACTGCTATTACAACTACTACTAATAATGATAATAATAGCAATAATAATACTAATAATAGTATTACTAATAACAATTCTAATACTAATAATAAAATAGTAATGTTAATAATACTAGTAGTACTAAAGCTACTAATACCAACAACACTACTGTTAATACCACGAATACTACTCCTATTAATATTAATACTGCTATTACTATTATTGATACGACTAATATTAATAATAACAATAATACTACTACTAATTATAATACGTATAACAGGAGTAATACGAATACTAAGACTAATCATAAACATACTAATACTAATAATAGTACTAAGAAGAAGGCGAGCGAAAACAGACGACAGACAGACATGTGGGAGAAGAGGCGGGCGAGAAGTGGAGGAGGCGGAACAGGATCGCGCAAACCTCACCGAGGGAGAAGAGGAGGGGTGGGATGCTCGGTGGTGCTGGCGGTGGGCGGCAGAGTGCGACGCCAGGGCACGCTGGGTAGAGTGGAGCTGATTTGGGTGAGGCCAGAGTTCGGCGCAGAGGCACACGTGGGGAGGCGTGAGGGTTCTCTGGGTTTCTTGATAAGCTGGGGGGATAATCCCCCCCGACGGGGGTCAACCTCGCCTCGCCGTCGCGCCGCGACGGGGGTTCGGAGCGCCTTCGGCGCGCGGTGGCTGCCCGCGACGGGGGTCGACTTGGGGCTGTCGGCGGGGTTGACGCCCCCCCCCCGACGCTTATCAAGAAACCCAGAGTGTCGTGGAAGGGGAGGAAGAGCGTGCCACAACCGACGGGCACCCCGCCGGGAAGGCGCAGACCTCCCCCCCCAACGTATGGCGGAAGCCCCTCCCGGATAGGGCCACCAGCTCCGCGCTCGGGGGAGCGCCCTGCGCCTGCCTCTCGGCGGGCGAGGGGCTCCCGGGGCTCCCGTCGCGCGAGGCGGGGGGCGGGGCTTCCCCAGGGCGGGCGGCAGGGCGGAGGAGCCCCGACGCTCCTCGAGGAGCTCGGGGCGCGCAGGGGCCGCGGCGGCCGCGCGCGGGCGTGCGGCCGGGGCCCCGTCTTCGCCCAGCGGGAGAGCGCGGAGGCCCTGCCGCCTGCCCTCGGGAAGGCCCCCCCCCCCCCCGTCGGCCAGGCCCCCCCCGCGTCTTGCGCGGCGCGAGCGCCCCTCGCCCGCCGAGGGGGCAGGCGCGGGGCGCTCTCCCGAGGGCGGAGCTGGCGGCCATCTCTTGGGGGGGGGCGGGGCTTTTGCCGTGCGTTTGGGGGGGAGGTTTTCGCCTTCCCGGCAGGGGCCTTTCGATGACCTCCCTTTCTCAGTCTCTTCCTCCTCCTCCTCCTCCTCCTCCTCCTCCTCCTCCTCCTCCTCCTCCTCCCAGCCGTCCTGGCCCATTGGCTGGGATTGCTTCCGCGCACTTCAGGACGGCGCAGCGGAGGCGAGCCATGGCTGAGTGCTGATGCTTTAACTTCACATTGGCTGAGCACTGGGGCATCATCCTCACGGAGGGCATCGTCCAGGAGCATCCCATGGAGGAGCACTTGGAGGATATGACGGCGGAAGGACGAGTTCATCAAGAAGAACGAGCTCACCGAGCAGCTGAAGGCCATCAACCTGAAGAGGAAGCTGGCGAGGCGGCTGCTGGAGACGAAGAAGCGCCTCAGGTCTTTGGAGCAACCAGGTGGAGGAGAAGGTTGCCTCGAGGGCGGACGGGAGGAAGTGATGTTCGACCGGTGTGGCACGCTGGATGTGGGTTGTGGGTGGAAGGACTGCAAACCGTATCCTGCAGAGCGTTTTTTATGAATACTTTTCCGCGGCTAGCGGGGTGGGTGAGCCCTACCACAGGCCGGTCGCCAGCGACATCGGGAATGACGACAAGGAAGGCGAGGAAGATCGAGAGGATTCCGGCGTAAAGCTGGCAAAAATGCAGCAGCTGGACTTCTACGAGGAGGAGTGCGCCAAAACAGTTCCAGAAGAGTTCAACATCGGCGATGATAGCATCGCTGTGGGCATTGAGAAGATCAGGAAGCACAGAAAGGACAATCATGACACGAGGGACCAGACGAAGGAGTTCGGATATGGCGTCCCCATCGTATCAGGGGACGACTTCAGAACGGAACAGCTGGTCAAGGAGGCCATCGAACGCTTCGGGCGCGACTGGGCGGAGCATAATCTGAACGAGCATCTCCTGAAGGACGCGGCGCTGCAGGATGCTGTTGGCGCCTGAGTCCTCCTCGCTGTCCACTAGCGCCGATAGCCGCCAGCGTTGCGACAAAAACTGGATATTTGTGCTCTACTTCGGGTTCGAGTCTGCGAACTCATTCGTGTTGTATTTCGCCTTCAGCTATGTCGGGGGGGCAACACAAGTCATTCTCTGTGCTGTCAGGGCCCCGTGGGGGCCCTGAAGGCGTGGCTCGGGCCTCTGGGCCGTCTTGGGGTTTCCCGCGCTTTCGGCCCTTTGTGGGCCCGCTTTTGCCCTTGGTGGGCCCTTGCCCTTTGGGCGCCTGGCCGCCCCGCTCTCTTGCTCCGCCTTTGGCTGGTGTTAGTTCCCCTCGGCCTTGGGCGGGCGGGGCAGCCGCCTTGTCCTGCGTGGCAGGTCCTGCTGGAGCATGGCGCGTAAACAGAGCCCTCAGGGCTCTCCTCCCTCCTCCCTCCTCCTCCTCCTCCTCCTCCTCCTCCTCCTCCTCCTCCTCCTCGTCCTCCTCCTCCTCCTCGTCGTCCTCCTCCTCCTCGTCCTCCTCCTCCTCCTCCTCCTCCTCCTCCTCCTCCTCCTCCTCCTCCTCCTCCCCTGTCGCGGGGGATCGGCTCAAGGGGGGGGGGAGGCATCGACACCCCTCTGGGCGCCCGCGGAGATCGCCGAGAGGGGCTGCCAGAGCCCGCCCCGCCCATGAGCGGGCGGATTTTCTCGCAGCTCCCTCCTCGACAACCCACCCCCCAGCCCGCTCCTGCTCGCCTCCGAGCCCTGGCCTGCGCAGAGGAGCCGCACCTTCGCCCGACAGACGAACGCGAGGGAGAACATAGGAAGGCCCGGCAGAGTCCGCTCCATCTTCGAAGAGCTGGCGGCGAGAGCGGCAAGAGCAGCGGCGGGGCATCCGACGGCAGCGCTGCCGTGAGCGTTCTGCGGAGGCATGGCAGGAGACTTGAGGATGATGATGTGGGTGCGGGCATTTCTGGCTGTGGCCTTCGCCTGTGGCAGTCTTGTCCAAGGCCATGTCTGCCGGCGGCTGCGTTCCCTGTCCCTTCTCACCCTAAACTGAAGACCTCCCGTATTCCTCCCTATCCTCGAAGAATTGGCGGTGAAAGCAACAACATTGGCGGTAGGGTAGACGATGGCAACGCTGCTGCGAGCGTTCTGTTGAGGCTGGGTAGTGGATTAGATAAGGGTGAAGTGGGTATGGGTATTGCTGGCGGTGGCCGTTGCCAGTGGTAGTCTTGGCCAATGCCATGTCTGCTGGCGATAGTGTTCCCTGCCCCTGCCTCCCGCCACACGAGTGAGGAGGAGGGGGGGAGTGGGCGGTGGGGGGGGCCAGGTATCGACGAGAAGGGAGCCAGGAGGAAGTGAATGTTGGATGGAGGTGGCCTCTCATGTTCTGGTAGGGTTGCTGCCTCGGAAGTGCGTGTTTCATTCCGTTCTCGCCAATTTCATTGGAACGCTTTGCACGGCTTCTTAAAGTTGTTTTTTTGGGGGGGCGGGGGTGCGAGTTCCTGTGATACTCTTTGGCAAATGCCTCGGGTGCTTCCTCGGTCCAGGGTTGGGTTCGCTATCTCTCCTGGCACCTATGTGCAAATACTTTAGCAGAATCCGGTACATCAAGGACCTTTCACTCGGCTTACCAGCCACTTCATTGCTGTACAAGTGCATTTCCATCAGCGTGCAGGGGTTTGTCTTACAGCTGGTGGAGCCGACCAACAATCTCCTGATGACCGAGCGTGCGATGCTTCGCAAATTGTTCGCTGCCCCCGAATTACGAGTTCAATCTCGACCTGCTCGGACTGCCAGTGCCGTTTCGTTCTATCACGGTCCTGCATCCTGCAACCGCGAGTATGACCTTGTTTACGACATGTGCTGCGTGGCGAGCCAGCTTCAGCCTACTACAACGCGATGCTCTGAGTGACCATGCTCCGCTGTGTCGGAGGTAACTATGGTGGCTTGATCATTTGGTGGAAGTCCGTGTCTTCGACCCCGCACAGACCCAGCTCAGCACAACGGGAGTTTCATAGATTACGACTGGTGATGAGGCTCGGGCTGACAAAGCAGCAATTTACAAACATTTTCATTGCCGCCTGTTTCCCGCGTGCCCTGTTCAGGCCATCCAGATACGATTGTACAGGTGGAACCACGTTGTAGGACCATCGAAGCTGCATGTCAGCGCCGACCGCTCTGCCAGTAATATGTCCAGATCGCGGCTCCAAGTTCCTCCGTGTGCCCTCTTTGCCTGCGTCCATATGCTTTTTCACTGGCTGGACGACCGCCTGGCGCTTTCTCAGAAGGAAGCCCCATGCGTATAGTGCAAGACCTCAAGTTCCGATTGGATCGAGCATTATTGGTGTTGTCTTGTCCTCTCGGAGGCAGGCCGTCGCTATTTGCACCTTGACTTGTCCAATTGGTCGTTCCTTCATTTCTTACTTTGTTATCATCCTTTCTGCCTCTCCGTCAAGGTCGTGCCACTCTATGTGTAGAGTTGCTGCGCAATTCAGGGGGACCTTCGGCATTATAATGCAGGGGGCAATGTGGTTTGGGTGTGCAGGTCCCAGTTGCGTGGCTTGCAGGATCGAATGTGATCCTGCAATCAAGCACACCATGTGACGAACAACAGAAACGTTATCGTATCATAGCTGAGAATCTGGCGTAGCATCGCCGCCCTTGCCGTAATCGCCGTGTGCACATCACGAGGTAGGTGTCGCGGAGGGCGGAGTGGTCGGTGCGAACCAACTGTTGCTGCTGCTGGATGTCGGATGAGTGCGGCTGCTTGGTCGAAGGGTAGTGCAGAGAATAGGATGTGGAAAAGAGCAGCTGTTTTCTTCCGGTGGAGTCTGCTGTCGGCATGCTGGAGCAAAATTGGTACAACGCGCAGATCGGGCTCCGTCCGGCGGGTCCGATCTTGAGGCTTGAGCCTCGTGTGGTTGTGACTGGTCAGGGGTGAGCTGCGACTCACCGGAGGTCGTCGGTTATGCGGGTTGGTAAACCTTGGCGAAAGGTGTCCATGGTGTCCATGGTGGCGTGACTTCAGCTTTGACGGCGGTGTCGCTGCTTGCCAGCTGTTGGGATGGCGTCGGGTTCTGTCCAGTGTATGTGTGCTTGGTGCCGTCAATGACGTCCTTGGTGGTGTAATCCAGGTTGTCGTGCCCGAGGTAGGCATCGTTCTAGTGCTCGTCGCGTATCGCTTCCGTGTCGGGTCGGAGCAGTGGCTTAGATGTCATTGCTGGTCATCTGGGTATTGCCGTTCGTGATCATGATGCGGGTTTGGGGTGGCTTCTGCTGCCTCGTCTCGGTGACGGGCGCCAGCCAGTTGTGGGTCTCCTCGATCAGGCGTCGGGTTCGATGGGTGGTGTCTCTCGTGTCGACGGAGCGCAGCAGGCCCCTGCTGAGGGTGTCGGTCAGTGGCAGTATGTCGCGTGTTTGCGTGCTGGGCCCTGGCGGTGTTGGGCCTGTACTCGAAGTGTGGTCTGTGCTGTTGTCAGTCTGTGCTGGAGTACTCGGTTCGCCTAGCGTTTGGTCGCCCCCGCCTTGAAGTGTCTGTTGCCCAACAGCTTCGTCCGTTGGTGCAGCTCCTGGGCCTCGAGCGGGTCGTCGGTCTTCACGATGGTACGGTCGGCGAGCCCCCTCAGGAAGATACAGAGATCGCGAAAGGTGTTGGTGCGGACGTAGGACTATGACGTATTTCCAGCTTGATGTGCCTGAGAGTGTCGAAACTCTTGCTGGCGGCTAGCTGTTGCGTAGGCATGTCCCTACGGTCGTCGACAACGTGCTAGGAGATCCTCGTGGCGAGCTGGTGGTTGATGGGGTGTGTTATGACGATCTGGTGGCGGGCCATCGCGAATTTCTGAGCCAGTTTAAGTGCCTCGTTGCCCACGTAGTGGTTGAGGGAAGCAGCGACGTAGGTCATTAACTGGTCGTGTTCGGTTCTCAGGATGCGGTTGGATTCTGTGGCCCCAGACGTATCTGGATTCTCTCCGTCCTCCTCCTCTTCCGCCTCCTCTTCTTCCTCCTCCTCCTTTTCCTCCTCTTTCTCCTTCGAAAAACAAATCAATCATAAGCACGAACTTTTGCAGTTTTGCACGGATTTCTTGGATCCTTGTGGACCCTCCTGTCGGCGTCTCCAGCACGAAATTCTGGCAGTGCTTTCTTATTATATGTAGGTGTGGCCACATATATATATGTATATACATAGATGCAACTTTAAAAATAATAACTATTTTTACGAGTTGTCCCTGAACCTCTGGGGGCTCTGGAAGTCAGCATCGCCTAACCCATCCCCGTTCTCTCTGGACCACCGCATCTCAGGCCCACGAGCGCCCATCCTCCCAGGTGGGGCTGGGCCCCGCGAGGCCCAGAGGAACAGGCATACGTTCCCACCGACCTGGGTGGCCTCTGGATGGGAGGGGGGGGTTCGAACCCCCCCCCCCTCGCGCGACGGAGGTGGGGGGGGTCGAACCCCTCGCCCCCCCCCTACTTCTCCTCCCTCCCTCTCCTCGGGCCGGCGCCTGCGTCGGCGGCGGCTGGCGGCGGCGGCGGGGACGGCGATTTCCTTTTGTGGACCATGCCAGTGGGGATAGGGATCGGCTACACGATGCTCCGAAAGCCTGTCGACTCCCGCGGCCATGGATGGCCGCGCCGCGGGTGGCGCACGGCGGTCTCTTGGGCGCTCTTGGGGCCGTCTTGGGGCGCCCTTGAGCCCCTCTTGGGGCTCTCTTGGGCCACCTTGGGGCCATCTCCAGGCTTCCCAAAAACCCATCGGAAACGAAAACGCGAGAAGGCAGAAGACACGGATTTCCCCGAGGCGTCGGAAGGATTTTTCTCTGGGCCTCGTGGAGGGGTGCGTGGGCGGGCTCGAAGGGCACCTTGGCAGGGCCGCGCGCCGCTCCCCGGCCAGGGCCAAGCTGCCCGGGGACCGCATCCTCTGGCCCAGCCCGACCAGCGTCGCGCTGGTGGCCGGCGAGGGCGGGGGCCGCGGCCCCGACCGAGAGCCCGAGGGCGCCTACTCGGCCGGCCCCCTAGGTGCGGCCTGCTCGGCCCCGTGCCCCTCGTCCAGGGGGCGCCTCGACGTCCGCCTCGTCTCTCCAGGCCTCCCAGATGGGGTCCGAGCAGAGGGAGTCGGAGGGTCGCGCCGCCGCGCCGGTGCTTCGGCGGCGCGGCTCGATGTGGCGCCCGATGTGCTTCGCGTCGATGTCGCCGATGCATCGCCGACGTCGCCAGTGCATCGCCGATGCATCGGCGATGCATCGGCGATGCATTGATGATGCGGCGCGCGATCCTTCGACCCCATCTGCTCGGACCCCATCCAGGAGGCCTCCAGTCTCGGCCTCGCGCAGAGGGGGGGGTTTCACAGGTCGGGGGCGGCAAAGCGGGGGGGGGTGACGACCAGGGTGGGGCGGGTGGACATCGTGGCGTGGGCCATGATGCTCCCCAAGATTTCATGGCGCCTCTTCTCGCTTCAATGCGTTCCTGGCCCGCCCCCCCCACCCCCCCCGCCTGGGCCGCGCACGTGCCGCCGGCCACGATTTGCACCCCCCCCGCTTGGACCCTGTCTGCAGACGCAAGGCCCGCGGCTTCTGAGAAGCGGCCTCCTTCTGAGAAGCCTTCCCCCTGCCCCGTAAGAGAGAGAGAGAGAGGGAGATAGACAGAAAGAGAGAAAGAGAGAGAGAGAGACAAATAGCGAAAGCGAGAGAGAGAGAGAGGGATAGAGGCAGAAAGAGAGAGAGAAGGAGAGAGAGAGAGAGAGAGAGAGAGAGAGAGGGAGAAAGAGAGAGAGAGAGAGACAAAGCTCCCAAATCGTCCCACAGTTTCCCCCCCCCCCCCCCCCCCACCCCCCTCTGCGCTCCCACTCTTGATGGCCTCCTCCCCAAACGGCGAGGGCGTGGGCTGCGACCTGCATGGAGAGAGGCCCAGGGCACCCCCCTTCGGCCGGCCCCTTTCCCTGCCGGAGGCGGAACAGGTGCCGACACCCGCCATCCTTGCTCGTTTCCACCCTCTCTCTGGGTACTCCAGATTTCGTAATAAAAGGGAGGGGGTCTGGACCCTCCAAGACAAGCCATTTCAGACCTCCCCCGTGGGAGAACCCTCCAAAACATCGTCCCCAGACCCCTCAGGCCCTCCAAGATAGCCTGGAAGAGACCCCCCCCCAAAATAAGACCCCCCTCCCTTTATTACGAAATCTGGAGTATCCTTCGATGATCCTCAGGACGTGTGTTAAGCCGCGCTCTGGCCCCGCGCGCCTGGCTGCTGCTGACCCCCCGGCGGCTCATCGTCGAAGTCTTCGGCGTCTGAGCGTCACTTCTTCCTCTCGGCCGTCCCCCCGTCCCTCTTAGCTCGCCGGCCAATTCGCTAGTTAGTGCCCCTATCTAGCTTCTCGCTGGAGCGGAGTTCGCCGCCTCGCCGCTGACCGAGGACAGTTTATCTCGTTCCGCTCCACCAGCAGATGATTACACCACTTTTGCGTCGTGTCGAACGGTTTCGATGGACACACACACACACACCACGCACGCACACACGTTGGCGCCAGTACACGTTCTGAGGATCATCGACTCCTGGGAGGCCCTCGCCGCCACGGCTGGGTTCGCCTCGAAATCCTTGTCAGAACGCATCCCGGGGAGAGGTCCAGGGAGTAGCGTCGGGGGCTCCAGAGACGGGGGTCGAGGCAAACGCGGGCCAGCCAGAGTGCCGGATCTTGCAGGATCCTGCAGGGCCAGGGTCGCATTGACCCGTGTTTGGGTGCAGGATCTTGTAGGATCCTTCGCGTTGACCAGGGTTTTTGGTGCAGGATCTGCAGGATTCTGCAAGGCCTGATTGGCCCGGGTCTGGATTGACCTGGGTCAGAAGATCCCCGATGGCGGTGCTGGAGTCTTCTGGTCCAGGGAGTGGTGCCCACCCGCACCTCTTCTCGGTGCGAGCAGATCACGGCGGGCGTTTCTCGGGATGTCCGATCTCCAGGGGACGATCCCTCGGATCAGAGCTGCCTCTCCCCTGCCGTCCTCTCCCCCTGCCCTCCCCCGGCCCTCCCCTTTTCTCCGCTCCCTCGGCCCCTTCCCGCTCCTCCTCCCTCCCTGGAGCTCCGACGTTGCGGAACATGTGCGCCACCGCGAAGCAGCACGGCCAGAGCTCCGGGCCCCATCCCTCTGCGCCATCCTTCGAGCGGGGGGTCGACCTGCAAAGTCCCCGGAAGCGGCGAGGGCGCCCGGCGGGAAAGAGTTTTGCGACGACTGGATCTCCGGGCTCCTCGCCCTCCTCGGGTCGGGCCCAACGAAAGCTTGGCATCGCTCGGACGTGTGCATTTTTTCTCGGCGAGAACCATCGAGGACCATCCTGGACCATCGAGCAAACAAAAACACGCGCGAAACCGAAAAATGCACGGGAACTGGACGTCCGAGCGACGGCAAGAAAGGGGGGGTAGGGAAGGGGGGGGTACGAAATCTGCTGCGTGCAGCTGGTTTCGGCCCTGCCGCCGGGCCCACTCCTTGATGCATAGGCGCCGGCTGGCGCTGGGAGGCGCTGGGAGAATCCGCCACGTGAGCTGATTCTCTACCTCACCCTTTGCTATCCCCCCGATCAGGGTCCCTCCTCTATGAAGTCGGTGTCGGCGTCGGCGTCGGCGTCGGCGTCGGCGTTGGTGTCGTGGTCGTGGTCGTGGTCGTGGTCGTGGTCGTGGTCGTGGTCGTGGTCGTGGTCGTGGTCGTGGTCGTGGTCGTGGTCGTGGTGGTGGTGGTGGTTCTCGTCGTCGTCGTCGTCGTCGTCGTCGTCGTCCTCGTCCCGCAGTTTTGGCTCGAGCGGCTCCGCTCGATTCCAGATCAGCGCGGGGCTGCCGCCCGAGAGCCGACGAGCCTTCGCCCGCCAGGATGCCGGGAGAGGATGCCCAGGGCTCGAGCGAAGCGGTGTCCTGGCGATTTCGTGGGCCGTTTTCGTTTTGATTCGGAGGCCTACAGGTTGAAACCAGCACCAGTATCGGCGGTGTGCTTCCACCGAAGGAAGATGATTCCGATCTCGGTCATTGTGGCACTGCCCAGGCTTCCCAGGCAGCCGAAAGATTACCACCAACCCCAAAATCGAGGACCGTCTTCCCCCGGTGGAGGCCGCCCCCTGTGCTGGTGTTGGTGCCAATTTCCAAGCCTCCAGTTGAGCGACGCAGAAAACCGGGTTCGACTGTGCTGACATTGGCGCGTAAGCTGCTCGCGTAAGCTCGCGCGTAAGCGCTCTTGTTTTCAATGCAGCTTGCCCCACTGGCGAAACGCGTACGCCGCGCAAGGCCGCTATCTATGTCCTCTCGCGTGAGACCCGCTTTTGATCGTCGCTCACCTCATGTCGTCTTGCAGCACAGGAGGCACGAAGACGGACGGATCAAGGGCAAACGAAGGCAGAACAAACACGAAGGGCAAACGAAAGCGGAAGCGAGGGGAAAGGGAAAGCGAGGAAGACGAAGGGGAAACGACAGCGAACACAGAACAAGGTAAAAACAAACAACTGAGGGAAAACACTGTCTGGCTCGAGCCCTGGAGGATGCCGCGACCGAGAAGCTGCCCGCCGCGGAGCGCAAGCGGCTGAAGAAGGAGGCCGAGGCCAAGGCCAAGGCAGAGGCGACCGCCGGGACTCCCAAGCCCGAGCTGCGAGGGCCAGCCGTGCGCAGAGGGGGGTGGGGCGAGGGGGGGAGGGCTTCTCAGAAGCACCCCTGCCTCTTAGAAGGCGCGGGCCTTCTCTGTAGGTGTGAGGCCGGCGCCTGCCAAGAGGCAGCCTCCTTCTGAGAGGCCCTCTCCTCTCCCTCCACACCCTCTGTTGCGCGCCGCCCAGAGGGGCAGTCCAGTCGGACCGAGGTAGGAGATCGAGGTCGGCTCGGGGAGGGTACCCTGGTGTTCTTCGTGCCTGTTGGATGCTCCTCGTGCATCCTGGGGAGGGTGGCCTTGAATGTTCTGCTTGTTTTGGCCGGCGGAGGGTCCCATGTTCTGCAGGGATGCTCTTCTGGGCTAGGTCAGGCTGGCCCTGGGCCCGAGTCGGGACTGTCCGTCACAGGGGGGGGGCTGCGCCTACGTCCTGATTTTTACCCGCGCGGCGTTCCGCAAGTCGTATCGCAGGGTTCGCCAGATCGTATTGCAAGTCGTATCGTTTTTTACCCGCGCGTCGTTCTGCAGCCTAAAACGTCGATTTCCCAAATCGTTTTGTTTTCGTATCGCGTTTTTTTTTTTTTTTTTTTTTTTTTGTGTTGTTTTTGTTTTTTGTCGAATCGTATCGTATATTTTAAGCAACAGACGCTTCCACTGCACGAATGCGCCCTCCTGTTGCGTCGTGGCCCGCGGTCCGTGGCCCAGTTGCCCCGTGGAGGATAGAGGAGGAGAAAAAGTTGGACCCAATAGGAGCCATCTCGCCTTTCAGGGGTACGCGCTTCCCGCAGTGGACAGAAAGTTTGGGGGCTTACGAGGAGGGTGATTGAGACGTGTGTTGCAGCATTGGTGATGCATCCTGGCCTTGTCATTGGTCATCTCTTCTACCGCCGCGAGGCCGATGGGGCTATCGCGGGTGGGCCTCCATGGGGGCAATGGCCCCCAAGTTCCCCATTGAGCCCAACCACGGGACACGGGATCGCTCCTCCTCCTCATCCTCCTCCGTTCCTGGGCCACTTGGGGTCGAACTTTCAGGGGTCCAGCCCGTGCTGCCTGCCGACTGCATGATGCATGCCTGACGATATCGGCCGAGCGTTGGACCATATTGGCGCGGACTCCGACGACGGCAGCAGCACCGACGAGCAGATCGGCAGCGGTGAGACTGCCGACGCCGACGCCGACGACGACGAGCTGGGCGCTGCGCTTGCCAGCGTCGTTGACGAGGCAAATGCATCGAAAGCTGGCGATTCGTGCGCCGTCGGAGGCAGGCCTCTCGAAGCTTCCATCCGAGCTTCAGGCTGCCGACCGCCGATGGACAGCGAAACGCTGGCATCCGGTTGTCTCCCCAGGGCGTGGACGTCGGCGACGGGAGCTCGGACGGCGGCATCGACGAGGGCGGGCCACCAGCGTCTGCCGTCGGGCCAATTTGTGCCTGCAGCCGCCGCCGAGCTCCCTGTTGGAACGTTGTCTGATCCGATTGCTGCAGAGGTTGCGGCGCTAGCTAGCACGCCCGATTCCAGAGTCGGCCCGCGCGGAGACGTCGTCGCGACCACCCTGTTGAGGGACGACGCGCAGCACATCACGTCTCTGGCGGCGAGGGCCACTGAAGTGGGCCGCGACCGCGAGCACTTGAGACAGATTATCTCGGCCACGGCTGGCAGTTGTTGGCATATGGAGCGCGCATGTTGGCGCAAGATTGAGTCGTCCATAGTTGATGCGTCGCCCTCTGCAGTCGAGCTCATCGCGTATGTGGACTACGGCACTTACGACGGCGTGGACTTTGGGCTTCTCACTCGGAGGTTTTGGAGTATTGTGGCGAATGCAGCCCCCGCAGCAGATAGCGCCAGCAGCCACGACGCAGAAGCCATCGTGAGCCAATTGAGTACGGAGTTGAACGCGCACGTGAGGCCAGCTATCGCATACGGAGCAAAGAAGGTGCAGCATTCCGCAAATGTGGTGGGCATAGTTTTCAAAATGAGTGGCGTTGTGCACTATTTGGTCGGTCACATGTCGTCGTTGCTCCTAGGAGTGGATCGGTCTACGGCCGAAGCCATGCTTGCGTGCGCAAAGAAGTTGGACCCTGGATCGCAGAGAAGAGAGTCGTTCCCGAGGAAAGTCAGACTGGCCGAGACCGATGGTGCCACGTACAATGACAGAACCGAGAGGGGATTGATGTCTGGACGTGAAAGCTGGTCACATCTGCACTTTCACTGCGAGGTTCACTTCTATGCCAGCATGCACGGAAAACGTTCTAGATGGAGCGAGTTTCAGCAGATATTACAGGCATGGTGAACACGACCCTCGCGTTGAACCAGTTCTGCATGATGGTTCGCTTCAGGGAGTCGGCGAGGACACGCATCAGGAACAAATTTGCTATGTATAATGCCATCTACTTGGACGTGGGCGCCCAACAGTACAGAACGTTCGTTCTGGACGCGTTCATTGGCGTCGGCCCTGGCATCAACGAGAAGCGCGCATCCCTTTTGAAGCTGGCCCCTGGCGACTGGCGAGTTCGAGGCGGGTGCCAGTGGCTGCGGCTTGGCGACGAGACCGAGGAACAAGTTGCAGATGCCATTGCAGACACGTTGCTCCCGCTATTGTACTCCCGCGCTCCGTCCGACTTCCCGCGGAACCGATGGACTGGATTCGATAAAACATTGGCCGACCATGGGATTCCCTCTTGTATCCACGGCTTGCACACGCACGTGTTCCTTCAGTTTCGGCTGGGCTTGGGCGAAGAACTGAATCAGGATGTTGTGCCGCGTCGGTTCGAGCAGCTCGGCGCGCTGGGCGACGCCGACGGCGCTGGCGCTCTCGAGGGCCTCCGCGACGGCGGCGGCCCAGGTGGCCAAGACCAAGCAACACCTGGCGGGGGCCATCCATGCGATCATCTGCCCAAGGGCCAGCCCCAGTAGGCGGCCATCAGCATGCAGAAGCACAACCTAGGCCACAGGGGCAAGGCTCATATATGGATGTTGACCGATCCAGCAGATGGGCTCCTAGGCACCAGGTTCGCCGCTGACCCCATGGTGCACTGCGTGCACGCGCGTCGGCAGCGGTGCGGCGACAGGTGGAATACCATCATGTCGCTGAAGGCCGCCAGCTCCAAGGATGATTCGTGCGTCGCTCGCGTTCGCGAGTGGCCATTGGTGGTAGCTGCGCTGGGCGCGCTGGAGAGCAGGGCGTTTCACGATACCAGCGCCAAACACGACGATGCGGCAGCATTCGACAGCCTGCAGCCGTCGCAGATGACACTCTCGCTTTCGGATATGATCTTCAAGATTCTTTCAAGACAGGGTGCACTGTTCTCCGACCTCGCGATGGTGCGCTCGAGGTGCCTTTCAGCTTGTCCATGTCGTTGGTTGATGCGGACGATGCAATGCGCAAATTCACGCAAACCTTCGTGGGCCATTTCGGCATCGACTCCGTGGATAGCGGGTTCGCGTTGGCCGAGCTCGCGATGGTGGCAGCGCTGTCTCAGTTGGCAACGGTGCAGCTCGAGAGCGGCAATGCAGGCATCAAGCACGTGGTCGACGTCATGGGCACTCACGTGGTACTGCCGTCGTCAGGCTCATTTCCAAGCTTCGCTCGAGGCTTCGCCAGTGGAATCGACCGCCTGGGTGGAGGAAGCCCCGCACTACGCGTCGCAGGAGCATGATGTTCGAGAAGAGAGTTCACGCTGCCAGGAGAGACGGCAAGCTCGAGCCGAAATTCAGACCTCGGCGTGGAGGCGGCGGTCTGTGGAGGCTCTTCGCCAGCATGAAATCCCGCCGCGGCGCCAGCCGCGCTGACGCCGGGGCGATCGCTGCCGAGTATCGGGCGCTATCCCAGGGCCAGCTTGTGGGCATGCTCGAGGAGGCGCGAGCGGCGACCCTGCGGCATCGGCTCGGAGGCTGCAGCTTTGGCAAGAGGCCGCTCGAGTTTGAGAGAGGCGTTGGCCGCGACTTGACGCTGCGTCCTGGGCAAGCGTTTCTGGATCTATGTCTTTCGGCCCCCGCGAGTTCCAGCCCCCCCAGCAGCGTGGCGGTGGTCGGCGTGCAAGGTTTGGCAGCCGCGGTCAAGGGCTCGAGTTCCGACTCCGAGGCCACGCGCGAGGCGCAGAAGGACGCGGGCCACAAGATTGCAGCATCTTTCAAGGACTGCCGTGAGGACGCTGGCAAGAGGAGTCAGCAGTGCATTCGAGAAGGCCTACCAAGTCTTGCCGACGAGGCTCCTGACTTTCGCTGCGACGCTTTCGTCAAGCGGGAGTGCATGTCGACGTGATTCTTCTCGGCAGTCAAGCTAGTGCCGAGGCTCATCGACAGGGTGCTGGAGACGGATCGCAATCTGATGAATGCGGTGGCGGCGGAGAGGGACACTATGCGCGACGTTATTGCTCGCGCTGACCAACCCGCAATTGCCCACCTTCCGAAGCGGCCTGCGAATGAGAAGTGGAGCTGCAGGCAGGCGGGCGCGTGCCTGTGCGGCGGAACTGGCGACGACAAGTGGGCCTTCAAGCTGAAGTTGCGCCGCCAGTTATCAGGGGGCTTCCCTGCGAAAGCTTCAAAGCAGATGATCGATGGTGGTAACGTGGTGGTGAGGCTGCAGTCATCGTGCCAGTCCGATGGAGAAGATATCGACTCCGACCAGGACGGGGCCATCCCAGAGGACATGGACATTTTCATTTACATATCGTTCATGAGCTGGTCGCCCGTGAAGTTTTGGCGCCGCGTGCTGGACTGGCCAGGCCGCGGCGTTGATGCCCGAGGTTACTTGGTGCTGCGGGGCACCGACGTCTACCGCGCCATGATGGGCCTCGTCCACGCGATCTACACGGAGTCGTCCGACTGGGAGTTTCGGTGCTACAGCGTCGTCGATGGCGACGAGCCGATCGCCAGCATCGACCCGGGGGGAGTGCTCGTCGAACACTTCGGGATTCGCGAGTTCGGCAAGGAGAAAAACACAACCCGGAGAAGGAGGAGGAGGAGGAGGGGGACTACCAA